CTCATCCATAAAGCAGGTATGACTATAACTTGTTTCATATGGCGAAGAAAGTATTTTCTGCTTAAAATGCTAAAAATGCCCAATTGATAAATTGTTAAAGGACATAAATAGGCAATTTTTAAGGAAGAAATCCAAGCAATTTATAGCCATATAAAATGCTCCAAATCACTAATAATTAGAGAAATGCAAAATTAAAGCAACTCTGAGTTTCTACCTCACATCCATCACATTGGTAAAATTGACAAAAAAAGGAAAATGACAAAATGTTGGATAAGCTCCTTGGTGCATTGTTGGAGCTATGAAAATGTTTCAGCCATTCTGGAAAGTAATTCTAAACCATACCCCAAAAGTTACTAACCTGTGCATGGCCTTTGTTGCAGTGATACCACTAGTAGGTTTAAGACCCCAGTGAGATCAAAGAAAGAAGAAAAGGACTCATATGTACAAAAATATTTATAGCAGCTCTTTTTTGTAGTGGGAAAAAACTGGAAACTAAGAGAGTGCCCATTAATTGGGGAATTTGGTCTTGCTGGGAAGAAATTAAATGGTATTACCTATCAACTCAACAAATGGGGAATAAATTATGGTATATTAATATAATGGAATACTATTGTGTTGTGAGATGGTGAAAGGGGCAGTTCCAGAGAAACCTGGGAAGACTTCTCTGAGCTGATGATGAATAACGGGAGCGGAACCAAGAAAACAGTTCATCCAATAACAGTATTGTAAAGACAAAAGGCCTTTCAAGACTTAAGAATTTGATCAACTCAATAACTAACCATAATTCCAGAGAATTCTTGATGAGACATGCTGCTCAGCTCTTGACAGAGTTGATGGATTCACAGTGCATATTAAGACATATATTTTTTGGACATGGCCAATTTGAGAACTTATTTTGCTTGACTGTGCATATATTTTTTAAATAAGAGTTCTGTTTTTGTTTTTCTAGTGAGAGGGGTGATTTAGGAAGGAGAGAATATAGATTTTTGTTAGTTGAGAAATTAAATAAAAAATAAAGTGCTATATAAATGTGATGTTATATTTAGCATAGCTCCAAAGAAGATAACATTTTGCATACCCAAACAACCTATTCAATGGGGCATGGAAGTTATTCACAGTAATTAATAATAACAACAATATTATTCTAATATACATTTACACATAATTTCATATCTATTCTTTCTCAGATAATCCTAGTTCAGTAGCTATGAAACAATTGTAGTTGTTTGTTTTTTTTTTCAATAGCTCCTAGCACAGTGTCCAATGAGTAGCGTATGGCTTGGCACATAGCAGACATTGATATGACCATGTCTCTCCCCTACTCAACTCTAATACTCTCTATTTCCTCTAGGATAAAATATCAACTCCACTGTTTAGCTTTTTAAGCCCTTCACAACCTGGCCCTAACCTATCTTTCAAGTCTCGTTCATTGCCACTGTTCCTGCACTCTTAGACCCAGCCAAACTACCCTGCTCCCTGTTACTTATACACAGAATCCATTTCCTGTCTCCAGGCTTTTCCTTTGGCTGTCATCTATGCCTAGAATGGATTTTGTTTCCATTTTCACCTCAAAGAATCCTTCCCTTCCTCTGAGACGCTCTTCAAGCATTACCTTCTGCATGAAACCTTTCCTGATCCCTCAGACTAGGAATTTCCTTGATTGTGAACTACCTTATATTTATATGTATGTATTCTTTTTATATTTATTCTGCATATGCTCATATATGAGCTTGTCTCCCCCATTAGAATGTAAGCTCCTTTAAATAGATATTGTTTCAGTCTTTGGAATGGGCATTTACCATTTTTTAAAAATAATATTTTTTCCCCCGATGACATGTAAAAGCAATTTTTAACGTTCAGTTTTTTTTAAATTTTGAGTTCCTAATTCTATTCTTTCTTCCCTTCTTCCCCTCCTCCCTTCCTGAGATGGTAAGCAATCTGATATTATACATGTACAATCATGTAAAATATATTTCCACACTAGTTATATTATGCAAGAAGACTCAGAAAGAAAGGAAGGAAGAAAGAAAATAAAATGGAAAAATAGTATGCTTCAGAGGCAACTAGGTGGCACAGTGGATAGAGCTCCAGCTTTGGAGTCAGGACGACCTGAGTTCAAATTTGGCCTTGGACACTTGACACTAGCTGTGTGACCCTGGGCAAATCACTTAACCCTGATTGCCTCACCAAAAAGAAAAAAACCAACATGCTTCAGTCTGTATTCAGACAACATCAGTTCTTTCTCTGGAGGTGGATAACATTTTTCATCATGAGTCCTTTGGATTGTCTTGGATCGTTGTATTACTGAGAAAGTTAAGTCATTCACATTCTTCATTGTACACTATTGCTGTTACTGTGTACAATGTTCTCCTTCACTTTGTATCAATTCATTAGTCTTTCCAGATTTTTCTGAAATCATTCTGCTTGTCATGAAATGGGCATTTTTTAAAAATTAAATTTCCCCTTAATTATGCTGCATTTATTTTCCCCCCTCCTTGCCCCACACTGGAAAAAAAGGAAAGAAAAACAAAACCTTTATAACAAAACTTGATGGTCAAGCAAAACAAATTCTCACGTTGGCCATGTCTAAAAATATATTTCATTCTGCATATTGAATCTATCATTTTTTTGGTCAAGAGGTAAGCAACATTCTTTATCTTGAGTCCCTCTGGCATCATGGGCAATCATTATAATGTCATTATATTAATCAGAGTTCTTTAAGTCTTTCATAATCATTCATTTTTACAATGTTAATATTATAGTATAAATTATTCTCCTGGTTCTGTTCACTTTACTCTGCATCAGTTCATAGACTTCTTCCCAGTTTTCTCTGCAATTGTCACTTTCATCATCTTACAGCGTAACTGCATTCCATTACATTCATATACTGTACTCTGTTCAGTCATTTCCTAGTTGATATATTCTCTTTAGTTTAAGTTCTCTGGCACTACAAAAAATATGCTATAAATATTTTTGTATATAGGAATTCTTCTTCTTTCTTCAATCTCTTTGAAGAATAGGACCAGTAGTGGTATCATTAGGTCAAAAGGTACAATTTAACAACTTTTGGGGCAAATTCCAAACAGATTTCAGAATGGCTGGAACAATTCACAGCTCTACTAACAGTCCATCAAAGTACCTGTTTTCTAGATGCCCCTCTAACATTTGTCATTTTCTTTTTTTGGGGGTCAGTTTTACCAATTTAGTAGGTGTGAACTAGAACCTACTTGTGTATTAAGTGTTTAATAAATGCTTTTTGATTCATTATACCACCATTTTCTATTACCTCAGACCACTCTACATGAATTAAATGAAACTATTTTTCATGCCATCCAATCTACTCCCTCTGTTGAAAGGGAAGAGTGAAGAGGAAACATTTGTAGGAGCTCTTAAGCAAACAGAAGAGAGTCCTTAAAAAGTGCTGGTTGCCTCCTTCTTGGTCAGTCAGTCAACCCTGGGACTCTTGGACAAGTCTTCCTTACTCACCATGGTTGATGGATTGGGATGGCAGTGGTAGGGAAGGATTAAGTACCTCAATAGCCATAGGTCTTAACAATTCTGCTTGGATAGAGACTATAGTTAAGTCTCTTGGCTATTGAGTTATCAGGTAAAGAGGGAAGGAGAAGGTAGGAGCCAGTGAAAATTTCAGGAATTCTTCAGAACCCTTCAGCCAACTCCATGCTATCTACCATGTTCAAATTTGCCAGGATGAGTCATACTCCTCTGCTGAAGTGGATCTGGCATTTTTCCAACCAAACTTGCTGAAAACTTGGGGTCAAATTCAATTTAATTCAATTTAACAAACATTTATCAAGTTCCTACTGAGTGCAAGGCACTAGATTTATGAAGACAAAAATTAAAACAGTCCCTTTCCCCAAGGACTTTCCATTCAATAGGGGTAAATGACATTTCCAAAGATAAGAATAATACATGATACTTTGATGATTAAGAGAATGCTAGCAGCAACTGAGAGTGTGAATCAGGGAAGGCTTCATGAATGAAGTATCTGAGGTGAACCTTAAAGAAAAATAGGGATTTTCAAAGGCAGAGATGAAGAAAGAGGACATTTTAGGTATAGGGGTTATCTTGGTGAGAATGCATGGAGATAGTCCAACTAGTTTGGAATACAGAGTATGTGAAAAGGAGAGTCAGGTTCCATTGCTGAGACTTCATAGCACAACTAGATGAACCAGTCAGGGTTAAAAGCAGTGGGTCCTTTTATTTGCTATGTTGGAAGGAAAGTTCCAAAGAGAAGGCCATGTGGCTTAACTGGAGACACCCAAAGGAGTAGAATGCAGAGACAAAAAGAGAAGGACACTAGGACAATCCACTGATTTATCCTTCATCCTAGGGCTGGGACTATGTTTCCAAAGTGAGTCTGGGAAAAGACAGGGAAAGGATGGTATGGCGGATAGAGTTCTGTACTTGTAATCATGAAAACATGAGTTGGAATCCTGCCTTAGTCATTTATAAACTAGGCAGCCCCAGTCATGTCTCTTAAATCTTCTGAACCTCAGTTTCCTCATCTTCAAGATGAAGGAGTGGGACTCAACGCTCTTCAAGGCTCTTTCCAATTCTAAATCTATGACCTTATGGTTACAATCAGGGATGCCGCCAGGGAACTTTGGGCATTATATTTTTTAAGGGATGGCAGGAAGATGTTTATAATGGTCTAGCAAGAGGCTGTTCCCAAGACATGGAGAATGGATACATTAAGTTCTCCTTGAGAATGTTGGGTCCACGATTTCCAGAGAGTTCTAAGTCAGGGAAACTCATTCTGCTTTGGGGATCATGGCAGCTCTGGGATCAGAATATTCTGCCAAAGGTATTTTTTAGAGAGTGAATGGGTCCTGCTAAGATGGATTCGATCAGGTTTTTGTCCCTGACGTCACAAGCAAGAGAATACCAATAGGCAAGAAAAATGGAAAGTTCTAGCCTGAAGATTCCAGATATCTTGTGGGGGGGAGGGGACCGGGGGAGCATTCTAGAGAAGGGAGAGGAGGAAGGGAGGGACAGACCATAGAGAAGAAAGGGCTGGGAAATAGACCATCTGGAAGGACAGTGAAGGAAACCAGGAAAAAAAAGAAAATAGTCACACACAACAGAAGTTCTTCTAGGCTACTACAATTTATGTGAAATAAAACTGAAAAGGTAGGTAAGAGTATTTTCCTTCAAGTGATAATTTTCCAGAGTGTCAAAAATAAGTGGACTGCTATTCCACTATTTAGGCATTAGTCATTTCACTCAAAGTCTTTTTTTTTTTTTTTGGTGGACAAGACAGAAGCCACACACCTTTAGGCAGAACAGAGTGATAAAAATGTGGTCCTTAAATGTGCTTTTAATTCTGACTTTCTGAAAAAACAAACAAATAATATTGTGATGATTCATGAATAGTAAGCAGGGTTGGCCACCCTGGAGAGCAATCTACCATTAACTTGGGGGTTCAGAGAACAAAGTGAACTTGTACTTTTCCAGACTGAGCCAACAGGGCCATGAGCAGGTAGAGGGGGAGCAATGGCAGCTCACTAGCCCCACAAACTCTCCCTGTGATCTAGAATCCGATATGCTTTGTGACAAACTGTTGTGGAGTGAGATTCAAGGCAGTTGGATAACCTAAATCCAAGATTTAGGGCTGGAAGGGACTTATGTAGTCCAACCACTCCCCCCATTCTACAATTGAGAAAACTGAGACTCAGGAAGTAAAGTGACTTGCCTATGGTCACATAGGCTGTAAGTGGCACAGTTAGGATTTAAGCCCTGTCCCTTTTGAATCCAGAGCCAATGGCTTTTTCACCAAGTTTCCAGAACTGATGACCAGGTATATATACAAAATATAATCATTTATGGCAGACCTATTCAATGCCAGTTCAATGATAGATCAGGTTGAATTTTCTCAGCCTCAAATCCAATCTTCTGGGCTCTTCCTGAAATTACTCATATTTAGATTTAGAACTTTTCTTTCCATCAAGGTAAGTTAATTCAGAGCTGGTTGCAATTCCTGTTAAAGTCCCAATCTCATTCCTCAGGGCCTATTGGTTGGAGCAAGATGCTCCCCACCAACAACATTACCACAAAACCAAATATTTATCCAAAATTTACTGTGTACTAGTCAGGGAGGGAGATGATGATGAAAATGATGATGATGATGACAATAATGATGGTGATGATAGCTACCATTACATGGTGCTTTCAAGTTTGCAAATCATGTCACATGCAATATCTTATTTGGTATTCAAAACAATCTGTGAGATAAATGCTATAGGTATTATCATCCCCATTTTACAGATGAGAAAAACCAAGGTTAAGAGAAGTTATTTGCTTGCCTGGAATCACACAGCTAGTAAATATCTGAAGAGAGATTTGAACTAAAGTCTCAACTCCAAGTCCTTTCATTATACCAAATTACAAAGGTTATCTGTTCTCCTATAGCAGGCCTGTACAACCTGCAGCCTGTGGAAAATGTAGAGGAAAATATTCTGTACATTTTTTGAGGGCCATCAGAAATCCTTTGGTGTGTCCATGGGCTGCAGGTTGTGCAGGCTTATCCTATAGCTTGTAGCCTATTTTTGTTTGGGGATTGAAGGTGGATAAAAGGAAGACCTGTGATTTAATCTACGTCAGGGAGTGGGAGATGTTTCATGAGTTAGTTTCCACTAACTCAAATCAGCAACTCTTCTATAACTTGTATTTTGGCTAGGTTCCTGGCCAAAATATAACAGCAAAGCCTGAAGTGCCAAAGATAGTCCAAAGGTTATGAACAAGAAAACATGATGGCAAATATGGGTGAATGTCAGTGCTAAAGATTACAGAAATAGAGAAGTCAGAGATAAAGGTGCATGTAGGGGAGAGAATAAACTTTGTTTTGGATGAGTTGGGTTTAAGATGCCAATGGGACTCTAATGTGTAATTGTATTGCAGGTAGTTGGAGATGTAGGGCTGGGGCTCAGAAAGAAAGATTTGGAAATTGCCTACAAAAAGGTGGTAGTTAAATCTGTGGGAGTGGATGAAATTTCCAAGACTGTAGAGACAGAGGAGACTAGAAAGATAATTGTAGACATGCAGAAAGAGTAGTTAGAGAGATAGGAGGAGAACCAGGAAGGGAGGACATCTCTGTAGCTGAGGATGAAAGTGTATCCAGAAAAGAGCATGCCTAATTTTTTCAGTATTCTTCGTATTTTTGTGTGTATTTAGGATTCCTTTGGCAGTCTAGTGAAAGAGAAATTTTAATAGATGTCAAGTGGGGTGGAGGAGGGAAACAGAAGTCAGATTACAAAGGGTTTAAGGAAAAGTGGGTGATGAGGAAGTGAAGATATCAAACAGATGACTGTTTTTCAAGATGCTTAGCAGCAAAGGAGTGGAGAGAGATGGAATAATTAATAGAGAGATGGTAACTGGATGGTTTATAGACATAAAGAAAAGGTTTAGGGAGGACTGGGGGTGATCTGAATTTGTGCAGTTGGTGAGGAGAGGATCTGCTGGAGGGGAGAGACTGAAGATGGATGAGAAAGGGAGGGCGGCTAATAGACACAAAGTCCTGGAGAAAGTCCAAGGTGACTGTATCAAGGATCCAAGCAGGCAGATTCAGCTTAGTAAGTGACAGGTATATTTCTTCTGAGCCTGGAGGGAAGGAGGAGAGAGGGTAATGGTGCTGAGGAGGGTAGCTGAGAGAATTCGGATTGGGTAGCCTCGGTCTTCTTCATGAAGTAGCATGCTAGGTCGCCAAGGAATATGAAGGGAAGTGGTTTGCTCCAAGTCACAGAGCAGAGAAGTGGACAAGTTAGAATAGCCATCAATCAGTCGTAGGATCATAGGTTTGGAGTCCTTAGAAGTCACTTGTCAGCTCTTTCATTTTACATACAAAGAAAACAAGGCCCATAAAAGTTGCGATCTTCTTAAGTCACAAAGCTAGCTAAGTGGCTGAGTTGAGATTTCAACCCAGGTCTTCCATCTGTGGTGGCACAGTAGATAGAGTGCTAGGTGTGTCTTAAGTAACCTTATTGAGTTCAAATCTGGCCTCAGAAACTTACTAGCTGGGTGACCCTGGGCAAGTCATAACCCTCTTGGCCTCAGTTTCCTCATCTGTAAAATGAGCTGGAGAAAGAAATGGCAAACCACTCCAGTCTCTTTGCCAAGAAAAGCCCCCAAAAAGGGGTCATGAAGAGTCAGACATAATGGAACAACAACTTCCAGATCAGCTAATTAAGGCAACACACGTTTCTTAAACACTTACAATGTGCCAGACACAGAGCTAAGTACTGGAGACCAAAAACATGGTCCCTGCTCTCAAGAAGCTCACATTCTAACAGAGGAGACAACATGCAAATTACTAAGCACACCCACATACATACATATGCCATCTATGTCTATATATGTACAGAAATAGGGAGAGAGGTAGGCAGGAAAGGAGGGAGAGAGAAACTGCCAATTTAATCAGTCAATCTATTCTTCTAGGCTAGCCTCTTCAAGTTTTCCCCAGAAAATTTTGGTAGATAGGATTCGTGGAGCAGTGGGAAAGGGTGCTTAATTTATATGTGCATACATGTACGTGTAATGCACATGCATGTGCATATATGAATGTGTATTTGCACACATGTACTTGTGTGTATACACACCAGTGCTTAGCACTTTGCCTAGTATGTAGCAGGCACTTAATAATTTTTTTTTAATTGAATACATAGGTATGTATGCATACACACACAAATTCTGTGCTCTTTTCCAGTGTTGCGTGAATCCTATCTACCAGAATTCTCTGGGGAAAATTGGACTAGGTTAGCCTGGGGGAGGTAGATTGGATGACTGGATTGGCAACTCCTCAGTCACACAGGCTCAGCATAAGATCTTTGGCCTAAATCACGGAAAACAATTCCACCTGCAACTTACAGAACACTTCCTATTTCTTGCAAATGGTTTTGTGTTTGGAGAGAGCGCTGCAGAGAGGGTCCCCAAAGGAGAATCAGCAAGGAAGCCACTTGGAGACAAGCATCAGTCTCCAGCTGCAGCCTGCCAACCTCGTCCTTACTGGTTGCCATTTGGCAGGTTCTGGACAAAAAAGTAAGCACATCTGCGACGAGGTATTTCCCAGCAGACTCGTTCCTGAAATCAGCAGTTAGGAAAATGAGGAGGCAGCTGCTTCTTTTCCTGGGGAAGAGGTTTTAGCTGGAAAGACATGGGTGCCAAGGAGCTGGCTTGGTAATTGGCCTCTGGGAAATTGGCTCTGAGCACCAGCAACAGGTTTAATCAAAAAAGCAAAGCTTTTGGCCTTTAAGGCACAGACCATCAAAGAAGCATTTAAAGGGACTCAGAGCTGAGGATGACATCTCTTTCCCTTCCCTGTGGTTGGGGGTGGTAATCCTGCTGGGTGGCCTAGCTTCACAGTCTCTATTATTTGAAACAGATGGGACTCCGGAATGATTGTCCTTCCTCTTATTTCGGGTGAATATTAGTTGATGGTGATGAAGGGTTAAACACCTGTGAGGGAACATGCTGAGTCTGTCTTATCAGGCAAGCACAGATTAGACTCATAGGCCCAGAGAAGACTTCAAGAAATCTGCTCAATTCTCCAGACTTCAGGCCCACAATTAAGCCTGACTGATGTAAATCTATTCCATTGTATTTTTAAAGATGCCACCATCCTTTCTTTTGTTTCTGTGACCCTCCTCTCATGGCCTCCAATGGGTAATTTGGCCTATAAATAGAGGCCTGGCAGGTGACATTCTTTGAGGAAATGCACCAGTGTAACTATAAAGAAAATAAAACCGCTTTCTTGTTTTTATGATGACCCCACAGGAAAGCACTTCCTGAATCTATTCAGAAGCTCATCTGCATATAGCTCTGTATGCAGCTGCTACTGAGTAACAGGTATGTTTTCTCAGAAAACAAACAAAAAACCCCCAAATAAATCAGCATTTATAGGTTTGCACATATTTGATCTCATTTGATACTCATAACAGCCCTGTGAGGTAGGTGTTATTATTATCTCCATTTTACAGATGAGGAAACTGAGTCTGAGAGAGGTTAAGTGACATGCTCAGGGTCACATAACCAGTGTTTAAGGAAGGATTTAAACTCAGATCTTCTTGACTCAAAGTCCAGCACTCCATACGGTATCTCATTTAGGCCCAGAATCGTGATCTCATTGGTACTCAGAACTAACTTTCCATGAGGAAACTACTTCTAATAATGCAGACTGGTCACTGCAACCTAAATGTTCATATTCCTCAAAATTGGCATTCTATCTTCCCCTTAGATAGATGCTTCTTCCATGGCTTAGACCACCTCTCCTATTTCTTTAGTAACTGTCCTATTTCTTTGGGGACCATGTCTCAGACAATAAGCCTAATGGAATGAAATGCCAGTCCCATAGCTCTTGGGTATGGGGCTCTCTCCTTATTGGTGGATATCAATGTCCCCAGCCTCTGCCAGGGGTGTGGCCTTGATCTCGACCAATAAGGAAAGAGTCCCATATCAGTGGGTTTGGGATTATAGTAGAATCTTTAAACCATACAATCTCAAAGCCAGTAGAGATCTCTGAGATGGCTGGATTTCATGTTACACAGGAGGATTTTTAGGTTCAGAGAGGTCGTGACTTTTCCATATATTTGGGGACCTAGCAGACCCTAACTCTTGGCATTGTGCTGGTTGCTAAAACTATCCTTCATACACAGAACAGGAATCAATCAAGTATTCAGGAAGTTCTCACCATGTGCTAGGTGCTGGGCTAGGAGCTAGGGAGAGACACAAACTAGAAATGGTCTCTGCCCTCAAGGACCTTGCATTCTAATGGGGGAGACAATGAGATAACATGGGGGGTCACTAACAGTCAGAGGGATCTGGGAAGGCTAACTCCATAGAGGTACTTGAGCTGAGTGTTGAATGAAAGAAAAGGATTCCAAGGGGCAGAAGAAAGGAGGGAGTGGCCTGGGGAACAGCCAAGGCCAACTTAGGGTGATAGGAGATGGAGTGGTATATGTGAAGGAGAAGCAAGAAAGCCACTTTGGCTGGATCATAGAGTGTGTGGAGAGGAATAATGATAAGGCTGGAAAGGCAGGAAATGGCCAGATTATGAAGAGCTTTGAAATGCTGAACAGAAGAGTTTACGTTTGATCATAGAGGTAATAGGGAGCCACTGCTGTTTATTGAGTGAGGGGGTGAGGCATGACATAGTCACACTTACACTTAAGGAAAATCACTTTGCCAGCTGTGTGGAGTAAGGATTGGAATAGGGAGGGCCTTGAGGCAGGGAGAACTAACAGAAAGCTGGAGAAATAGTCCAGGGGCCTAAAATAAGGTAGTAGCTATGTGACTGGAGGGAAGGGGACAGATAGGCAAGATATTGTGGGTGAGTGTGAAGATTTAAGTATGACATCAGTATTCAAGAACATAGAGTGCCAGGCATGGAGTCAGGAAGACTTGAGTTTTAATCTGGCTTCAGACACTAGCTGTGTGACCCTGGGCAAGTCATTTAATATCCGTTTGTCTCAGTTTCATCATCTGTAAAATGAGGATGATAATAATAGCACCTACCCTCCCAAAGTTTGTTATGAGCTCAAATGAGTAAAGTGATAGGAAGTGCTATATAGATGTGCAAACCTTTTTATTATTATTATCAATTATATATCTATTACTATTTTTATTAACCTTCTAAAAATTATTATTATCAATCAACTGGGTTAGGGTTGGTACCCTAAACAGAAATAGGGAAGAGGCCTAGTCTTTTTGGAGAATGATAAATTAGTTGTGTTTTGGACATGGTCAGTTTGAAATGCCTACAGGAAATCCAATTCAAACTATCTAATAGCAGCTTGGTTGTGTGGGAATGGAGCTCTGGAGTGAGACGGGGTAGATATGCTGCATAGACAGATTTGTTAACCATGTGCATAGAGAAGGTAATTGAATCCATGGTAGCTGGTGAGGTTAACAAGTGAGGGAGTATAGAGAGAAAAGAGAAGGCCCAGGATAGAACCCAACACCCACAATTAGGAGGCATGACATGGATTATGATCCAGCCAAGGAGACTGTGAAGGAGTGGTCAGACAGGTCAGGAGAGGAGAGGCCAGGCAGGTAAGGAGGAGAGCCAAGAGAAGGTAGGACCAGGAAACTTCAGAGAAGAAAGCGGATCCAGGAGGGAAAAGGGGAGGACGATGCTGTCAAATGCAGCAAAAAGGTCAAGAAAAAGGAGGTTTGGGAAAAAGTTTAGATTTAACAATGAAGAGATCACTGGTAACTTTAGAGGGAGTGGTTTTAGTTGAGTGATGATGTTGGAAGCCATCCTGCAAAGGGTATATGAGAGGGGAGGGAGTGGAGACAATGAATATAGACTGTTTTTTTTTTTCTAGGAAAACTGAAGAAAATCCTGAGAAGAGAGTAGAGATATAGGAGGGAATGGTAGGGTCTAGTGAGAGGTTTTTTTGGTTTGTTTGTTTCTATGCAGTGATGAAATAGCCAGTAGACAAGGAGTGATTGGTGATTAGAGAAAGAGGGGATGATTGTTGGGGCAATCTGCTTGAGAAAACCAGAGGTGAGGGGTTCAAAGGTACATGTAGAGAGTTGGTCATATTGAAAAGAAGGGTCTCTTCTTCATCAGATAACCAGAGTAAAGGAGAAAATAGTGTGTGTGGTAGGTGATGTAAAAGGGTTGTTAAATGAGAAGAAAAGAGAGAGCATATTTCTCAGTAAAATATAAGCAAAGTCTTTAGTTGGGCAGGGGGTTGTCTGTGGAAGGCTTGAGGAAAGAAGAGAAGATTCAGAATGATTGATATGAGCAGTGCAAGAAGAAAAGTAGAGAGGAATGAAAGAATTGCCTTGCTGAAATAAGGACCCAGTTGAAAGTGGATAACATGAATTTATAATGTACCTAGTGAGCACAATGACATGACTACCTCTAGCTCTGTTCAGTAGCACATGCATATGAGCAGAGAAGATGTAAGGTGGGAATAAAAACAGGAAGTATAGGTGAATAGGTGTACACTACCATGTATGCAGAACTAGGGGCCCCCTGAGCAGTAGCTCAAGTTTGAATCATGTTGTGGATATTGGTAATTATCCACTTAAAAGTATAGATTCCAATTCAAACAATCACTCAGTCAACATTTATTAAGCACTACCATGTGCCAGGCACTGTGCTAGGAAAAACTCGCTACTAATGTGCTTCTTTTACCAGCCAGTAAGAGGACACCTTAATTCAAAATAAAAGGATATTTAATTAAGTAAAATATCAATATAAGTGACAAGAAATATTTCTTTTTATACCCACAGAGGTATAAAACCCCTTGGCTTACTGCACCACCAGTGTGGGAGAGGATATACCCAGGGAATATAGGTGATCAGGCAACAGGCAGAATGGGACACAAAGGTAGGAAACATACATGGTAAGAACATTCGGGCATCTGGGATAACAATCCAATTTTGGAAACCTGATAATGTCTGCTAGTGATGTTGTCAGAAAGCTGTTTTCTCACCTGAGCTGGGGTCTCCTGCTGCGCTATTCTCTCCATAGTGGTCCTTGCTGCTAGGACTTCTAGGTGATGGATGCCACTGCTCTCTCTGCTGCTGGTCTGCAATAGGGGGTCCCCCAGCTCTCTAGTTTGATAGCCCCAGGGGCCTTCTTGAACTCTTTTGTGATCAAAATAACCCCCAGTGGTGGGTAGGTAAGGGTGCTAGAGGCATTTTAAAGTCTTTCTTTGGAATAGTACATTTTTAATGGACTCAATTTCCCAGATCCCAGCCTTCTGTTGGACTTGAGTTTAGAAAATTCCTTTTGACCTTTGCCATAAAGTGCTTGTTATTCTGAATCTTTTCAAGATATTCCAGGAAGTTTTCTAAATAACACTGCAAAGATGTATGGATCTGAGGTGACTGGTTTTTTTCCAACCACTCATCTTCCTGAATTCAAATCTGGCCTCAGACACTTATTCACTATGTGACCCTAGGGAAGTCACTTATATCTGTTTGCTTCAGTTTCCTTTTCTGTAAAATGAGCTGGAGAAGGAAAGGGCAAACCACTCCAGTATCTTTGCCAAGAAAACCCCAAGTGGGGTCATGAAGAGTGGGACATGACTGAAAATGACTGAACTTTGTGACTCATGGCCTGAAGTCCCTCAAAAGATTCTGGGCTTAAATGGTAGAGCACCAGCCCTGGAATCAGGAGGACCTGAGTTCAAATGGGGCCTCAGATACTTAACAGCTATGTGACCTTGGGCAAATCACTTAACTCTGATTGCCTTGAGAGACAGGAAAAAAGAAACAAAGAAACACATCAGATGACATAGCCTTGCAAATTAGGATCAGGATCAAGTTCATGGATGGAAATGCCCAAGAAGGGACTCCTTAAAAACTACTAGTAGAGTCAGTACTGATCTATCCCCTGGTTGTTCAGCATCTCCCATGGAATAGTGTACAGACTCTACTTTCTTGGGCCAATGGCAGTCATGGAAAAGGAGGTAGGCTTTGTAGAGGTTGAGATCCTGATACCAAATAGCAGGAAAGCCAAGACAATGTCCTATTGAGGAATGTCTAAACAAATTAGGGTATAGGAATATAATAGAATGTTATTGTGCTGTAAGAAATGATGAAATGAACAATTTCAAAGGAAATTGAGAAGACCTTTGTGAGCTGATACAGAGTGAAGTGAGCAGAACTGGAACAATTCATACAATGATAACACTATAGAGAAATACACTTTGAAAGACTTTAGACCTCTGATCAATACAATGATAAACCATGAGTCCAAAAGAAAAAATAGGAAACATGCTACTCATTTCTCCTGACAGAGAAATGATGAATTTAAAATGCAGAAAGAGACCTACATTTTTGGGATGGTTAGTGTGGGCATTCATTTTTGTTTAAACTGTGTAAATATATATTAAGGGATTGAATTTTTTTTTCTTAATGAGGGTTTTGGGAGGGACAGACTAATACGAAATACTTGGTCTTGAAAACATTTTTTAAAACCAAAGAAATAAAAAATAAATTGAATCAAACTAAAAATAGGAAAGCAGAAGCCTTCTGGTTTTTTAAAAAAAGAATTTCGTATAGGAAACAAAAAAAATCATCAGTTTACTCTAATCAGTAAGTATGCACTTCTGGTCTGGAAAAGGCTGTTACTGAACCTAGTGGGAGAGGGTAGGGGCTTTAATCATTATGAAATTGCCAGTCTGTCTTTGTCAAGTACTGCAGGAAAAAAAAAAATCTGTTTTCAGTGGCTTTTTTTCTTGCTCAGATTCCAATCTTCATTTAGGTTGTAAGGGTAGGGCTGGCCTCTTTCTATATAGTATTTGCGCAGTGCTGAGGGGATGGTATGAAAGCAGTAATATATTCAGCAATGAGAGTCATAGCAATGCAGAGAACGTTGAACAAAAAAACTCTTCTGAGATGATAATGAAAAGAAGAATGGCTCGCGTGTGCAGTAGAGAAGGAGAGAGAGAGGAGAACAGAGGAGCAGATAAATAGGAGGGTTGAACATATGGCTTCATCTTTCTGGTCTGATTAAAGACATTTGTGTTTCATGAGCCAAGTTGCTGTTGCCAAAAAGGACAGACAAAAGTGGATATTACTCCAGAGCAGGATGCTGGGAAAACAGTGTATGTGGGGCCTTGTCTGACTCAGAAGGGAGGAGGTTTGGGGGGAGAGCTGGGTAGAGGTCCAGAGGGGGTTGGCCCAGGACCTTATACCTGGAGAGCTGACAAATGCCTTTTTAAAAAGGAAACGTGCTAAGAGTGGTGGCCCATGCCAGGAATCCTTTCTACTGGGAGGCTGAGGCTGGTGGCTCATTGGAGCTCTGGAGTTCTGAGCCACAGTGGGCTAAGTTAGTTGGGCATTTACATTGTCTGACACCAATATGGTGGGGAGTGGGCACCAAGTTGCCTAAGGGTGAACTGATCCAGGTTTGAAAAAGAGTAGGTCAAAGCATCTCTGCTGATCAGAATGGGACCCCAGCCATGAGTAGCCCCACACTTCCAGCCTGGGTGAGATAAAGAGACCCAGTCTTAAAAAAATATATATATATATATATATATACACAGAAGGATAAATGTGTCAGTAGATTATCAAGTCAATGAGCTAGAAACTCCAGATAAACATTTGCACTGCTCCAGGGGATTGATTACCTGTAGTGTCGCTGATTGGAAAGGAGGCCCGTTCTTGTCCCTGAGCCTTCACGTTTTCTCTTCCCCTGTGCGAAAGCCCTCATCCTCACCATTTTGCCATCACATGCCCTTCATCTTCCTCTTAAAAGCTTCTTCACAAGCTACTTCTTTCATGGAAGACTTATTGACTTATCATTCCATTATCCCAGCAGCCCTCAGAGTGTCCCCCATCTTTTCACCCATATGTATGTGGCTTTACACAGCCGTAAGCCATTATGTACTTGTTTAAATGCTTCTCGAGTCTTTTTTCATTCTTTTTTCTTCTTTTCTAAGGCCCCCCAAAGGGCAAAGACTCAATCTTTTCTCCCTTTCATCTCTCTTCGCAGCACTGAGTTCAGGGCTCTGTCTTCGCACAGCAGATGGTCAATCAGGGCTGTTGACTGACTGGCTCAAAAATACAGGTTGAACATCCAGAGGGTTTGTATTCGACTTGCTGTCCCTGCTCGCTCTGCTATGTCTTTTCCCTCCTCCAAAGGCTCTCTGTCTGAGAGAGCACCAGATTGCTGTCAAGGCCAGTCTGTAACTTGAGGGGGTGTGGAGGGGGGGATGGGGAGTTGCTTTTTTTTCTCCTTTAAAATCTCTGTAGGGATGGGAAACACTGTTCTTTGCTTTGTTGCTGGAAAGAGCTCACATTCTGCTCGCTTAGCCTCAGCTTCAATTTTGGATGAGGTGCCTCCCTCCCTCCCTCCCTCCCTTGCTCCCTCTCCCTCAGATCCAAACTGGCATGCTGCTTCAGTGAACATATGTATTTTTTAAGCCATGCTGTGCTAAGCATCTCCCTTTACATAATATTTCAGCTCCCGGGGGAAAGAGGTAGCCAAGTTTCCCTCACCTTAAAAAACAAATAATCTTTGTTGTACGTTCTCATGTCATCTTGAGAACAAACATGTGGCTGAGATGAGAGCTCATTGAGAAAGTGTTAAAATTCACGAAGGACTTTGCTTGCAAATCAGCCCTGAAATTTCCAGGAAGACCGTGGGGGCTTCCCACAGTCACAGCAGAGATGGCATTCAGCACGAGAAACACCAACCAATCGCTCCATTTTCAGTCCCACGTGTGCAACACATGCTTAACATAAAAATCAGATTGTCAGCAAGCCAGTTCTTCTCTGATAACAACTCACCATCAAAGTAAAGTTGCAGTCTTCCCAATTCAATTTATTTCATAATGACTAGCTTCTGGGGGTGTGGCCCTGTACTAGGAAACTTTGATTTCAGTTCAAAATGCAATCACCTCTTAATTCAGTCCTAGATATTGATTTATGAAGGGATTCAGCACATCTCATTTAATCCTCACAACAACCCTGTGAGAGATAAGTGCTGCGATTATACATACTTTCAGGTGAGTAAACTGAGGCTGAACAAGATTCCATGGCTTGCCGATGTTTACACAGCCAGCTTGCTGGGGATCACAAATCTAGAGCTGGAAGGGTGTTTAGAGGTCCCCTGCTCTATTTTCCTCAGTATACAAATGAGAAGATGAGCCCCCCAGAGAGGTTAAGTGACCAAAAGTCAGTGATAGAACCAGGACGCAAACCTAGTTCCCCTGATGTTAAATCCAATGCTCTTTCCCCTCTAACATTTTTCAGAGGCAAGATTCAAAACCAGATCTTGCTTGATGCCTCCTAGATTGAGGATCTTTGAGGTCAAGTCTAAAGTTCTCACTTTCTACTATACTCTGCTGTCTCTCATCCTAAGGAAGAAAAGCAGTGCTAATGAGCTCATCATCCCAGGGAACAGATAAATCATCATTATTCATTCATTTATTCACCCAGTAAGTATTTACTAATCATCTACCACGTTCCAGCAATTGCTATGTGCTAAGGATAAAAAGGAGAAAAGCAGCACAGTCTTTGAGGTCAAGGAATTTCCAAAATACTGGGAGTGGGAGAGAAACAGCCCTCTATGATGGGGAGATAATATAAATGTAGATCAGTAAATAGAAAATGTGTACCAACTAAGGACTGAGCAGTTTTGTGGGGCAGAGAAAGGAATTTCCTTACTCTGGGTGGATCAGTACTGGCCTCCTCTAGGAGGGAGTGTTTGAGCTTATCCTTAAAGGAAGTTAAAGGGATTCTAAAAAGGCAGAGATAGGGAGGGAGTATAATCTTGGCATGGAGTATAGGAATGGAGAGAGGAGACAGTGGTGTACTGAGAACAGCCAGTTTTGTCTGTAATAGAGAGTGAATTAAAGCGAGTTATTATGCATT